AAGGTAAAATTATCCTACTTCTCCTGGGATCTATGTCCTCACTAAATGCATTCGTGATGAATTTATTGGCTTAATTGCTAGTTATGCATCCTACTGAGTCCCATGTGATGTTAATTTTGTAAACCATGGTCAAACCTTGTGATTTACCAGAGAATGCAGAGCCCATGATTCCTAAAAAATTCTCCCTCTTGATGTCACATATGATTTCAAAGCAAAAACATGGTCAAAATAATTACATATAGACTATTAATCTGAGCGTTACGTTCCCCTGAGTGGTGTACAAGGTGAGGGGGGAGTAACAAAAAGTGTCCAGGTCAGAAAAAGGAGTCAAGGAGGCAAAAGGGTTAAATTAAAGAGTTTTATTAAAGTTTCTGTTAATATTCAACTAAAAGAGACGGACAAGCCGCTATCACCATTTAAGGAAACAAACAAATTAGTCAATTATTGGTCAATAAAGTAAAACATAAGTCAAAAAGAGAGAGGGCAGCTCACTAGCTGCACATGGCACTCTGGGCCAGAGCTCACCTGTCCCTGGGCTTAAATCCCTTTAATTACTGACGAGAGTCAGCTGCACAAAAGAAAAAGGTGGCAGCTAAGGCAGGAGAGATTGAAGGACACGCCCACACAGGCACCTTCAGGAGGAGGCCCTGCTAGGGCCGTAACACTGAGCCATCCTTTATATACAGTCTATGATGATTACTATTATAAATAACTCAATACCTGTGCTATAAATTAGGAGAACTGGAATACATCCTAGTAGTATATTAATTGTAATGTCGCTTTCAAGTTAAAGCCAAAATACTTGCCATCAATCCTTTTAATATAGAAACTACTTTTTGAAGCCACTACAAATAAAATTTCAGTCAAAAAAGTCAAAATTAGTGCATGTAGATGTTGTAAAACCAGGACGAAATATAAAGCATAATATAACATTTGTGTCTTTGGCACAATGTGATTATCCTACAGGCATCATTTAACCGGTCACGTATCTTTTTTGAGTACTGTGTTGTTTCTGTGTGTTTGCGTGTGTGCATGCAGAGTGAAGGAGACAAAGGACAAGGGAGGGAGCCCCTGTGAGATGAGACGGGTAAGCCTGTTGCTTGTAGCAGAGTTAGTCAGGATTAGGACATGTATCTGTGGGATAAGACCGAGTTACTGGGACCCTACAGTGCTCCAGCTAACACCATCTGTCCTAACAGTCCAGGTCTATCCCCAAATCAGTCACTCTCTCATTCCCTCCGTCCTATCTGTCTGTATTCTCTTACTCATGTCTCCTGCTTTTTGTCAACAAGTTGTTTCCTCCTGCTGTTTGTAGTTGGCCTCATCCTGAGTTTCTCAGTAGCTCCTGTGGTGAAGGAAGTAAGGGGGGGAGTACAGTCCAAATAGTCCAAGTCATGTCCTCTGTTGGCCTTCAGAGCCTCTAAGTAGTAATTCTGAAGGCTATGAAACCGGGTTAAGAGCTGATAGGGGGGTCAGTGTCACATTCAGGGGGTCAGGGCCAATAGCCTGCTCAAGTCTTCGGAGTCTTTTCTGCCAGATCATCAATTTACATCTAAAAGCATCCTGCAAGGGAGTGTTTCCAGTTTTATCTGTTGTGAAGAAATGTTAGTGTAATAGTGCATGATGTATTTTCTTTCTAAATATATTGTAAGACTAATATATTTTTATCGGCATGGATGATATTAAGTCATAGCGTGCAGTCAGTAAGCTTAACATGAAGACAGGAAACAGGATACGATGTCATCACAGTTAGCCTGGCAAAGCTAAGCTAAACATTTCCTCCGCAAATCAAATCCAGACTACGCTTTGCAAAGAGTGTGTCTTTATAGTTATTTCCCTACATCATGTCATCATGTTGTACTTTGTTTTCTTTTGTGAATTGTTGTGTTTTTTGCTTTCTGTCTTTATTCCTTTCTTTCTCTTTGCTGTGTCTCGTAAAATAATCAGCCTGCCATCTATATTTAGTTTTTATTTACCTCTCTCATCATCTGTTTCCCCTCATGTGCGATCCCATGTTTCTTGCCTTTGTCCCCAGTGCCTAACTTTTTCTGTTAGTTTGGATTTCTTTTTTTCTTACCTTCTGTTATTACTGGGCTTTGGCTTATCAGCTTTTTGAGGTTTCAGAAAGTGGAGGTTTCAGTTTTGCATTAAAATGATTCTGTGTTTGGCTCAATATATCATCGTACTCTAATTAAAGTATGCCAGACATGATATGGAAAAATTATGGTAATGAAAAGAAAAGTCATTGTTTTTGTTCCAACTACTTGTTACCAAGTTACAGCTGGACTTTGCATACAATATGCTCAAATATGATGCTACTCTGCTTCAAGGAGTCAGAGCTTCTTTGATATATGATGACATAATTTTCTAATTATTACAAGAATCTTTTTGCTACTACTACTACTACTCTATGTAAGAAAAAAGCTTTTGTGTCACTGTGTGTTTAATGTGATAAAACAACACCAGCCAGTCAACATACTGGTCGACCTCTACTACGTTATCTTAATCACACGACCTCAAAACTTACCTTTGCCTCTAAAATAAAAGAGCAAACGAACAGTGAATCATTTGAATCAACTTCAGGTCACACCTGCGTGTAAGGCACACTGAGATGCTAAAAGATAAATGTGTGTAGATGCAGGAGGAGTGATTGTGTGTTTGTCATGAAGTATGAGGTAAGTTCCTCTGTGTCTCTCCCTCTCTTTGTCCCTCGCCCTCACAGGAGGCCCTGTTGGTTTAGCTGCTAAGCTTTCCCCGGAAACACAAATGATGGCCAGATAGAGAGGTTAAAGTAGAGAGCAGAGGAAACAGAAACTGAAAGAAGAGAACAGAAGCTTTTTACCTTTAAATTCTTTTCTATTTTACTATTTCTATTAAATCTTATTTAGCTGTCAGTAACATCTCTGCTTATTAAAGATTTATTTTTTTAATTACATAGTAAAATACTAAACTGTTTATCAGTCTTGTGCTTTTTTTTTCCACGAGTCAGCATGTCTGCTTTCAATAAAGGTTTTGTTTACAGTCCAAATCAGATTTGTGAAGACACTATTAACTTACTGATTCCTGAACGAGACGCTATTAAGACACTGAGAGACTCGGGATTAACAAGTTTAGCTTTTAAGGAGCATCGAGAAACGCTTGTTGTGCATTTCCTTGCAGACTTAAATGGCTTGGAAGAAGAAAAAAAAACAGCATTAGTTCACAGATTTTGATCCTAACTGTGAGAGGCAGGGTAGTAAGGCGACGCGGGGGGTGCTAATTTCAAATCACGAACCTCTTTGTTGAAATGTTTTGGGTCTGTACCCACAGAGATGAATATCTACCAGCTGAAAACATATCCAGTTAGTGAGATCATTGTTCACTGATACATTTTCAGTCATACATCTAAATTATCAGTCTTTTATGCTTAAAATGATATTAACTTATACTGCTACAAATTAATCCAGACATAATGAAGCACAGAAGTGCTGTTTGCCTTTGGGGCCAGTAGGCAATACATAATTAAGACTCATTACTTTGTTTGAATAAATCCATAAATGGGATGAGCTTAATGGGTGAATCACTGCTGGTATGTATTTATTTAATATTAAACAGTGGTAATAGAAATTACACCAGAAAACATTCAATTCAATTTTATTTATATAAAGCTAAACCACAACAGCAGTCACCTCAAGGCAATTTATATTGTAAGACAGAGACCTACAATAATGCAGAGAAAATAATGAGAAATATTAGGCATCAAATGCACAAAAGCAATACTATAAAAATTATAGATATTGTATTGTATCAGTGGATATAATTACTTTATGTTGTAGACTGTCAACATAAAACCATGTTAGAATAAACCAACAGCCAGCTGGTTTAGATATTCAAAACCTGTGTTATATATATATATTTTTTTTTTTCCTCTGGGAAATTTACCACGATGAATTTTAAAAAGTGAATATATTCAAGTAAGATAAAAGTACCTTGAAATTGAACCAAAGCACAGTACATGAGCAGATTGCACCTCTGCTGACAAGTACGTTGGACACTGGTTTAAATTGACAGTGTCCAATTGCTGCAACACAATTTTTATCTAAATCCTGTAATTTAAAACAATTTTTTTCAATAAATTCCCCCATTTTTCTTTGTTCTTCTGTGGGTTGTTGTTGTTTTTGTGTTACCTGTATAATCTGTGAGTCTCGAGTAAACATCCAGTGACCTTAATAGTAATACTCTACAGCTTCTTCTTTTTAAAGCATCTTCCATTGCAGTGAAACATTTGAACAAAAAGGCACCAATCAGATGGAAAAACAACACAATAAGTGTATGGTTTTAGACTCATTTGACCTTATGTGGTTACAGTGACAGGGTCTGTGGGTTAGAGAGTTTTTAAAACTTTGTCTTTAACCTGGTTGACTGTAACAACTCACAGGTTCAATATTTAACAGCATTTTAGCGTTAAAGCAGAGCTGCTCTTGACTCATTTTCAGTTCAGGATATGTGACTATCCACTGTGAGGCAGCACAGAGCCTACAGTCCAACTTGCAGCAACACAATTGTTAAAGTTGTTATGTCCGAGAGATAAATATTCAGAGATAGTTGAGTAAACTTTCATGAAGTGTCAGTGATACTTGTTTTGCAGAACAACAGTTTTGAAATGTAGTTGATGAAGGAAGCGGTGCATGTATGAAGTGTTTTTGCTTCTTTTGCAAGAAATTATATGTCGCATCAAAGGAGAGAGTTGGGAATTTGGAGGTATGTGTGTGGGGTGTATGCAAGGAAACAGAAACGTGTAAAACAAGAAGAGAAAAAGAAAAAGGAGTACAAAATATGGGATGGGGTGACAGAGTGAAGCGGGGGAAACACTGCCAGAGAGCGTGAACATGCCTGTGAACTATGAGAGAGGGATGTGGAGGGGAGAGACGGAGAGAGAGAGAGAGAGAGAGAGGAGGGGATTGCTGCAAACAGGGATTTGCAGCAGAGTGGACAGAAAGAAAGGGGGCAGTGGCACTCAGTAGCAGAGTGCTATACACACTCACATGCGCACGCACATGCACACACACGCTGTTTCCTCTGTGTCTCTTTCCAAACGTGTCAGTCAACCAGTCAGTCGATTATTTGTGTTTGTGTGTGTGTTCAGTGGGGACGTTGACAAGAGCTCGTAACCATCCTTCTCTATGACCGACGGTAAGATCTTTTCAGTCACTTTGCCTGTTTGACCGTCTCTCACACCGGGCCTTTATCTCGGCCTGCTTTCACTCTACTTTTTTCTCTCATGTGTGTGTTTTTGCTGTAACTCTGGTCCGGAGCCAGACTGAGGCCTCCATGGAGCCCTGTCACTGTTTGCTTTCTTTTACAATCCATTTTGAGCCACAGGGGGTGAAAGTAATGAGCAGTGAAGCAGAGGCACTAGTCAAAGGTGGACTTTTTTAATTAGGTGTTCATTTTATTAATAACAACTATTACATCTGAAGGAGTGTAATTAGTATTGGCGGAAACCACTTACAGCTTTCTTTGATGCACTTACCCCTGTAGCATAATGGAAGTGTTGAACTTTTCAGTTATATTGTGAGGACACTACTTTTAGCCTCTTCATTTGTTTTTGAATGTTTTGACTTATTATGTTAATATTTAACTCATTTATCGTCTCAGACTTTCTATAAGTTACTCTAAAATATTGTCATGTAACTCTTTTTTTGTGTAAAACGAGTTTTTGAACATGAATTTGACAGCAAATGCATAAAAAAGGTCACATTTTACTATCTTGATATGTTACTTTTAACTTGTTATCAATTTTTGCTAAAAGTAAATTTACAGCTGTATAGAATTTTAGAAAGTCGTGGCCTCTGGATTAAAGTCTGAAGTGCTCGATAATTGGATTTGCTCTCTGAGACCTGTGGATCTTTCTGTCAAAAATGATTAAGCCTGTGAATTCCTCTGCTTCAACTGCTTATGAGTTCAGCGAGCGGATGTTTCTAGATATATTGCATTTCCTGAGCAACCTGGAAAGTATTTCTACATGGAAGTATTCCAAATGCAAAACCTGACATGCAGAAGAAGATGTTGTCAAAAGGCATCTGGCAGCACATTTTATTCAGTTTCTTCATTTAGCAAGGAGATCTTAAAAAGAAGAAATGTGACGCTCAGTACTGATATAATTACAAGAGAGGAAATGCACTTTTTAAGTGCACGAAACTTTGTGTTTTTTATGTACACAGATTCGTGTGTTAATATACAAACACAGCCTACCTTGATGTTTACCCATTTCTAACTGATCCTTTTTTTTAAGGCATTTCATGATAGAATCAGTTTGACTGATATATATATATATATATATATATATATATATATATATATATATATATATATATATATATATATATATATATATATATATTTCAGTCAAACTGAAATGGTTAAATTAAAGGGGGTCTTTAGATGTATTCATGAATGAGCTGACAGAGCTTGGGAGTAGTGCAATATCTAATTTAAATTCAAGGCTGGAAATTAAGTTCAAATGAAAATAATCTGGATGTAGATGTAGGAGGAGCTTACCACTCCTCTGCAGCCTAAGGCCTGCAACACAACACACCTCAAAGATCATTGTCAGCTTTTATTATGGGTAATGTAGGCTTCCAGTTTTAATAAGGAAAAAGAACGAGTGAAGTTAAATAAAAAACACATATTTCTGGTTCGATGCATCATTTCTTAGCTTTCTTTTAATTAATTATGAGTGTTAAATCTATGCTGCACAAAATTAGTAACATTAATTACAGCTTATCAGCTCTTTATAGACAACATCAACCACCCATTACTCTTATCCCTTCCATCCAAACCCTTTTTTCCCTTTTTGTTTCTTCAGGACAAAAGAAACAGAGACAAGGAAAAGGGGACATACAGTTTCTCACAAAAGAAACTCACCAACCAGTGGACTTTCTGACATCACCGCTGCCGCTGTCTATGAGCTGCACTGAGTCAGAGGACTGGACTTTTCAACAATCCTGACACACGTAAAAACCCTGTTGAAGCTCCCGCCAGCAGCAGCAGCGACAAACATCATGTCCTCTCCTTCCCTCCCCATGCCTTCTCTCCCCCCAAGCCCTTTGGCCATGGAATACCTAAACGACTTTGACCTTCTCAAGTTTGAGGTCAAATCTGACACTCCTCCGCTCCCTCCTCCATGTGCGTACCCTAAATCTGGTACCCATGACCCCTCCAGCTCTCCGTACACCAGCCACCCACCACAGGACTCCAGCTTGAGCTCCAGCCCTTACAACTCACTGCCACCTTCGCCCACATTCAGCGATGCCCACCCACCCCCTTCGGGCTCTTCTTCTCTCTCTTCATCATCCTCCTCCATCTCCTTTCCCCTCTCCATACCCAACAGTCTCACTTCCAACATCAGCTCCGGCTCTCAGGGGAACGTGGAAGGCAGTCCAGCCCATGGCGGCCCTCAAGGTCCGACCCCAGCCTCTCTGGAGGACCTGATCTGGCTTGCCGCACTGCAGCAACAGTTTGGAGGTGAGGTGACGGGGCCCGCCACTTTGCTGGGAGCCTTGGGAGGGGTGCCAGAGAGAGGGGACCGAGAGAGAGGGCAGGTGAATGGCTTCCTTGGGTGTGAGGATGCTGTGGAGGCTCTACTGAACTCAGCTGCAGCAGCTGTTAGCTCACAGGTAAGAATTTCTTATGCTATGTCAGTGTTATTATTCATTATACATATACCCACTAAACAACTGACTTTATACTTCTCTCTCTCTTCATCATTTCCACCTCCTCTTTTCAGTTCCCAGGTCTTTCTCAGAGTTCAAGCAGCAACCTGGGAGACTCAAGCAGCGACAGCGGAGGTGACATCTCCTGCGCCAAAGCAGCAGACATCTGCCATCGCCCACTCGTCTTCCTCTCATCAGGCCCTCCCTCCCTCCCCAACACTAACCCTGCTTCTGCTCCATACCCCCAACCCCTCAGCCCCCAGGGCCGCCTTCATCACCACCAGCATCACCACCAGCATCACCATCATCAGCATCACCCGCACCACCCCATGCATGGCAACCATCACCATCATCACCACCCACAAACCAATCAGGTACAAATCTATCCAGAATTGAAGAGAGGGCCTAATTATGATTATAATATTCAGCAGGAAGCGTTAATCAGTAAACCATGAGAAATTCCTGGAGGGAAAAGACGTGAAGCGAGAAAACAGTCGCATTAAAAGGCTGGGCGGAAGGAGGGAGCGATGGTCCAGCAAAGGATTAGGATTAGGCCATTACAACATGGTTATTAATGTCTTTGTCTATCTGAAGTATCACTTTAAGGATTGTTTTCCACATGGCAACAATAAGGGAAGATAAATCTTTACCTAAGGGAAAATTTGGGAACATTTTTTCCCAAAACAGTTTAGCAGCTGCAGGTATTCTGTAATTTAATTTAGTTATAATCTGACATCTGTAAATCTCTAAATGTTAGTATTTTAAAAGGTATACTGTAAATTTGCATTATTACAATAAAGGATGCACCAAGATTTTGGCTCAATGTTGCAGATTGTTATGTGATGCCAGTTTGGTGGTGACTAAATCTTGAAAGACCTAAAAAAAAAAAAAAAGTTAAGCCACTTTTTCTAATTACTTTGTAATAATTTCTCAGTTTTCGTTACAAATAATGGGGAATAAATAGAAGCAAAGGCATAGAAGCTCATGGGTGGTGCATCCCTTCATTCATTAACTGTATATACAGCCGGCCTGTTATTGGTGACCTCAGGAAGAAAAATGTTTGTCGATAAGTATTTCTGCTTAAAACTACATTAGTATCTTGTTAATAACTCAGTTGTGAATATTCTGCTCTGCATGTAAAAGGTAAATAAACTTTGTAATCTGTGTTCTGGTTGATCAAGATGTCTGGGTGGATCTCTATATGGAACACAGTGTGAGCTTATGATAATATCTGCTATTATTGCTGTGGGTAATCCTGATAACTGTCTCCCACACTTAGTCAGATTACATGACAGATTATAGACATGTGGTGCCAGAATGTGCCCCCTGACAGCCAGGCACGCTCACACACCACACACACACACTCAGTTTGACACATCATGTGTACACCATTCATGCCATATATGAATCTAAAGCTTTGCCAGAACCAGCTTCACACCCTGCACACCCTCCCATAATTTCCTGCATGTGTCTTGTTGCCAATTAATGGTGAGAAACAGCATATTCTTTATGTGTGTCGTCTCCATCTGTTCCTCAGTGCGGGGCAAACGAGCGTTTCTCTGATGAGCAGCTGGTGAGCTTGTCAGTGCGCGAGTTGAACCGACACCTGCGTGGAGTGAGCAAGGACGAGGTGGTGCGCTTGAAGCAGAAACGCCGCACGCTAAAGAACCGAGGCTATGCCCAGTCCTGCCGCTACAAGCGTTTACAGCACAGGCACGCTCTGGAGTCTGAGAAACATTTGCTTACCCAGCAGGTACACAGTCTTCAATTTCTTTTCATAAGTGTCAAACCTGAGATTTTGCCTCTTTTTCTACACTGGCATTAATCATTAATATCAGCCAGCTTTTTAATGGGAAATTCTGGTTTTAAAGTAGGTGAGGACAGCAAAAACATGCAGCATCTGACATAACTGCTGACACACTCTGCAGATAGAATAAATAATGCACTCCAAGTGAGCATCTTTGCACTTTAGCTCAGCGAAGCGCAGATAAATTACAATCTTTCTACTCCTTTCTCATCAGTTGGAACAGCTACAGTGCGAGCTGACGCGAGTGCTGAGGGAGAGAGACGCCTACAAGGCTCGCTATGAGAAGTTGCTCAGCACAAACCATGGTACCGGTGGTGACGCCCAGCCGACCCACACCAGCAACCCACCTTCCCCGCCCCCTGACTACTTTCTCTGAGTTTAATCCACAGGGGTGCACAAAGAAAATAGACAAGCCAGCGTGGAGCAATCAATAATGAGTAATCAGACTTGGAGCGAAGAAACAAGAACGCGTGTGTGTGTGTGTGTGTGTGTGTGTGTGTGTGTGTGTGTGTGTGTGTGTGTGTGTGTGTGTGTGTGTGTGTGTGTGTGTGAAAGAGAAAATGGAAGAGAGACTTTGGAAGGCTGTTTTGGGGATCATACAACTGTGAAAACCACCCTTGAATGACTAAAGGGGAACTGACTGTTAATTGATAGGGTTAGACTCAGCCCTGGGCTGCTTCACAGGCTCAGATTTACTTAAATGTGAATCATGGTTGCACAAAAAACTGACTGAGAGTTTCCTGAGAGCTTCTGCTGGTGATATCAGTGCAACAGGTGACAAACAGTACTCTGAAAATGGATTTTAAAAAACAGCTTTATCTTGCAATAAAACTATTATAGTGTCTGATATTGTTATCTATGCAATATTACATATTTGCAATGTACTTTGCAAGTGAGTGATTGAGGCTCAGTGTAGTTGTTTTTTCTTTTTTTCTTTTCTTTTTATATTAAGCTGCTAAAGCTGCAGAGGTCTGAGTAGTGCAGTGGTGTTGGATGTGGAGTGGTATGGGCTTGGATAAAGTATCCATGGCATGCAGTTAAGCTAATATTTCACAGTTGCCTACCAAAGTGTTTAAGCTCACCAAGACCTGGTATTCTTTGTAAGATTAATAATCATAGATTAAAGAATGTACAAGAATATCTTCCAGTGATTGTGTTAAATGAATAGCGGGGAAACTGACCTTTTGTTTTAGAAAAGAAATGTACTTTTGCCAGTTGGAATTGGCAAATTTCAGCCATTAACAGACTTGCTGTGTGCTCTCGAGAATGGGTTTTTACATACAGAGACACGGGGATGGTAGTGTGCTTAACTCAAGCAACTGCAAATGAAAAAAGAGGCAACCCATTTCAGCAAGCAAAAAGAAAACAAAGTGTGGCATGATTTGTGTGGTTGTGTCCAGTTCTTCAGACTAGGAAGCTATTTTTGGGCAGAAGGAATACCTCTGTTAAAAAAAAAGAGAGAGAGAAAAAAGGAAAAAGCATTGCTCTGTGAAAACACAGATCATTTTCATATTACTACAACATGCAGCACCACAGAGCTGGTCACTGTGGACTCGGGTACTGTGGGCTACTGATGCAACAGAAAATTTATGGTGCAGGGATGAAAAAAAAAAGCAAAAAAAAGATTTAAAAGAAAATCTTCATGGAGACACATTCTTAATTGTCCCATGAATTTATTGCCAGGGTTAATGCATTAGAGTTATTTATTTTGTTTGGGTATAGGTTACATAAATTGTTGTTTTATTTATTCACTTATTTATTTGGTATTTATTGTTTATTTATGTACTGATTCTAATTATTTTTTTGGTTTTATTCCATTAGCGTGTATTTTTACTTTCCTACAGTTTATTCTTTTATTCATTTGTGATTAGAATTAACATTATTTTACAACAAAGGCCCTTATCATGGTTTCCTGCTCCTGTTGTAGTGTGGTTTCATATGCATATACAATAAACCAATTACTTTACCATCCCTGTGATGTGTCAGGGTTTTTTTTAACACCTTGCACACAGGTTTAAACCTCATCTCTCGATTCACCTATCCTAGCATCTGCCACTGTCAATCTCCTGGAAGCCTTTTCTCTGCAGCACCATGTCCGGCTCCATCTCTCTCTTTATCTCTGCCCCTCTATAGTGAGGCAGTGACCCTGGGTGTGTGCTGTTTGGGATGACCTCATCTTCAGCTCTACCTCCCTCTCTGTGTCTCTCGCTCTCTCTCTGGCCTGTATAATAGGAGCAGGATTAGGGCTATAATAGCGCCCTGGCTGCTCACTGCCGGAGTCTATTGTGGCTTTGTGTGGGAGGGACACACCACTGCTCATGGCCATGTTCGCACTCTGACAGAAAACATGTTCATATACACTCCTTCGATAACAGACTAGAAAATACTTTGGTGAACTGGAAATTAATCTGTCAAATAAAATATTGAGTGTCTTCAAAGAAAATAAAAAAATAGGGCTATTAAACTTTGTAAGCAAATGGGTAGGCAATCAAGTCTCTGTTTTACAGCAGGGATAACCTAATAACACATTTTAAACATTCTCACACACACACAAAAAAAAGTCAATTAGGAATGTGATTACTTATGTTATAATGCCCCCTAGCGGCCGCTTCCTGCATCGCCTCCATCTACCAGAGGTCAGTGAATGCTTCGTGACTCTGAGCATCTTCCTACAGCACTGCTCCCTACATGCACGCATGCATCACGCTTCACTGCTATCACCGGGCTGCATGCACCTGCAGTAAACATTTCCAGCACGTGGTAGTGGTGTCACCTCTCCTCTCTAGGCAGCAAATCAAGATCTGGAGAGCTTTTTAGGCGTCAAGTCAGTGAGTCACAGTAGTCAGTCTGTGGAGTGCTGATGATGAATGGCAGTACTGACTTACCGATCTGGACCTGGGCCCTAACCTGAGAACACAGAATGACAGCGAAGAGCGAAATGAAGAGAGAGAGAGAGAGTGAGAGAGAGATAGAGAGAGGGGGGGAGAGAGTGAGAGAGAGAGAGAGAGAGAGAGAGAGAGAGAGAGAGAGAGAGCGCTAGGGAGGGAAGATTGAGAAAGAGAGAGAGACCGCGCTTAGTGCTTACTTTTTAGTAGCTGATAACCACCTGACAGGTGAGAGATCATACCGGGCTGTTTGATAAGGGGTTCATAAAGTGAGAGTGGTGGGTGGGGGTGGCATGGGTGAGGAGGAAGAATGGTGATGATGCTCTTCCCTGTATATCTTCTGGAGTCCTCATTTCCGATCGCTTGATTTCAGTTTGCAGATGCCGACAGATGTGCCCGAAGACAGCGAGGAGAATGCGGCCACGGTAAGGTGCAGGAAAAGAAAAAAAAGAAGGGAACTGAGGTTATGTGCTGACGGTGTATGGTATTCTTGCTGAATCTCTGTGTGTGTGTGAGTGTTGTAGGTAGGTGGTGGTGGTGCAGGGAGGGGGTGTCCTGCATTACAAAATACAAGGAGTCAGTTTATAATGGAGTTACGGCTACAATGACTAATTTTAACCACAATGCAATAAACAACCGATTATAATGGTGCTCAATAATTAACTCACTCGGTGGCTTAGTGCAGCTCAAACTTTAAATGTCATTTCAGCCCTCCAAGAACTTTATGTCGCCTTTCGACTGATTTTGGTTTTCATTCAACCTTTAATCTCAGGTTAATTGTCACCACTTCTCAATTCTTAGTTACGTCTATTTGCAGGGAGGGCGGGATCTGCTATGTTATGGTTGTTGCTCAGTTCCAAGAACTGAAGGTTATCCTTTAAGCAACAGGTTTACCCCATTAATTAACATTAATCCTCAGAAATCCAACCAATAAATCGATTTATTAATTTCTGAAAATATATGCATTTTCAAAAATTACTTATTAAGTTGCCATTGTTGTCAAGGCAGCCACTAAAAATGAAAAAAAATTATACCACTCAGTAGACAAAATAATTTGGTGTGTTTTAAAACACCCTCTGGCTAAATAATCGACACAGTAGAATTTAGCTGCTAAAATGCCAAATTTTTCTCTTTAAGACTTTCAGAAACAGCTAAAACAAGAATAAATATTGTCAGGTGGACATAAATCTAGACTAAATATTAGAGGTGGGAGAACTGATCCAAATACCAATAGTTTATCGATATACATACGGTGCTATCGGTATCTGATCGATACTAGCGCAATAGAAAGGATACTTTATTTCTAACCACTAGGATTCAGTATGCAGCACACATTTACATTTCAGGTCTCCAAAAAAAGAAATCCAGTTTCAAAATACATGAAAAGCTGAAAGGCCTGTTTTGTTGTGTTAACTTATTATTATGGAAAATAAAAACCACAGGGATTTAGAGGTGATCTCATAAAACATGACATACTGATCTCACCTACATAAGCTGCCTTTATAGGTTAAGGTTATCAGTATCGCTATCGGTATCAGCAATACTGGCCCTCTATTTACTTGGCATTGGATCCATGCAATATCGCAAATATATCTAAAAGACTGAGGTAGGTTCTAAATGGACTGAGATTTAAGACAGTCACAGTGCCTTAGGCCTGCATTATTTCCAAACACCAGCAGAGGCTGAGTCATCTGGTTGCCATTGAAAAGAAGTCTGTAGGAAATAGACCATAATGCTCTCTTGCTCTATGGTCCCATTTAAGATGTTTCTGGTGAGTCATGGTCCCAGTTGCTTGTCTCAAATCATGTTAAATACACCAGGGTCTTCATTTTTTTTTATAAAAATAATGGCTCTAATTAGATACAGAGAGACAATTAAGCAGAGCTTTAGGGCCGGTCTACCTTATGACTGAGAGGTCATTTACAGTGTTTTTTGGTTTCTCCACTGAATCCCACCCTCACTCATCACATCTGGTTCAAAGTGCTAAATTGGGATGAATTCACAGGACTTCATAAACTAAAAGGCAATGGCAGGATAGCTTTTATAGACAATCTATAGCACAAACAGAATGCCAAATTTGATCCCAGCTGATTCAATGTGTAACAAGTTTATTGATGTCAGAATAACTTGGCATTGCATTTAAACCCATCCAACACTCATTTAATATCTTTAAGACTTACAGCCAAATCTGCCCTGTGGTGTCATGCCAGTGACAATGGTGGAAAAAATTGTAAGGCATAGTTGTAAACCTTTTGAAAAGGGTGTCTTATAACACAACTCTCAATTTTTGCTCAAAGGTAAATCAATAAATAGTAGCAGGAGAAGAAAAGCTAAGATTACAACACCTGCTACCTAACCCAGATACCCATGTGTTATCATCTGATGACTCAGCCTTTGGGACAACAAAGCCTATTTGGGCCAAGAATTCCTGTTCTGTGCACCTGTAATTGTTTGATAATGAAGATAAATAAGATAAATTTGTTTTTAAAAAACCTAATAAAGACATAACTCTTCATCACATGACAGCTGATGGTCTTGAAATTTAATCTAAGCAAATATAATCTCTCTTTTGCTCTTTGCAGGGTTTGTTTATTTCCATGCAACCCAAATCTACTCAAACATGATTGCTCAGCACTGCAAACAAAAACCAAAAAGCTTTCAGTACCAAAGCTCTTGCCCACAGAATCTGCATATTTATATCCAGAGTCTATTTATTGTGAGGCCACATTGCTTGCCTCCTTTCGCTGACCTTAGTCAGCTGTCAGGTTGACACTAAACGGTTTCTCTAGGTGTTAAAACGTGAACCCAAACTTCACAGTATGTGTGTGTTGCTAATGTGAGAAACATTTTCACAGAATATCATGAAGAATATGATGGACTGGATCAATTTGAAATAGTATCATCACATAGTTTGACTACTTTGGGGATTTTACTGCACAAATAGCAGACTATGTATTACAGTTAAGCAAACTTGTCTTTGTGTAGGCTATTTCACTACTTAATCAAATGCATTGCTAAAAAGTCTATAGACAATAGCCATGTCATAATTCATTATATATCTAATGTGTTCCCCTTGGGCTGCTTGCAAAGAGTAATATCAGGTCCAGCGGTTAGTCAGGTTCTACTCCATCCTAGTATTGCTGTGTTGACTGGGGAGCTTTTTGTTCATTATGAGATTTATTGAAGCAAGGATTTCCAATGCTTCACTTATGTTAGTGACTAATAAGTATATCTCCCTGTACACTCTTTGAATTTTCAGGGTTTTAAAAAGAAGTTCTTTCTGTCTTTGAAGTCCATTTAAGGGGAACTGCTCATTTTTAAAACTACATTCTTTCCAGTTCAGAATAATCCTTATTTATTTTTATCCCAAACCTTAGGGCAAAGCCACAGCCAGTGCTGTGTGCCTGATGATCCTATCAGGGATATCTACAACCTAGAGCCCGAGCTTTATGATCACAAACATTTTTGCACATAGAATCCACAACAGTAAAGATATAGGGAAAAAATAAGGAGAGGTTCATGTAGATCAGGTTTTGGGATTTGCTCTGGTTGGCATGTGGGAATCACTATTTCACGAGTGTTACACTGTCTGTCTATGTTCTTCTTTCCCACCAGTGTGACAGTATGACTCTGCCCAGCACTCCAACCGTTCGCAGAGGAAGCACTCCTCTGCCGATTAAGCACCAGCTCAGGCGAGAAGAAGCCGTCCACGATGAATGCGACTGGGCGTCAGGTGCGGCCGGGCCTTCGGTGTCCCCAAACAGTTTCAGCCCTGCCTTGGATGATACTCCAACCGTGACTGTGGAGGGCAGACCTGACGGGCCACTAAGGATTGCTCTCCTGGGGCAGAATGGCGTCGGGAAGTCCTCTCTGGCCCTGGCCCTCGCGGGAGACATGGACAGGACTGCATCTGTGGATTCTGATGGTACAGTGCTGTTTGTATGCAGAGCAATGTATTGCAGTGGAGTAAGTGAGCAGCAAGTAAATAAATCACAGTGCCCATTTCCCTCCTGAGACCTAACTGCTGCTCCCTTTGTCCTTAGGGGAGGGTTATGTGCACACAGTTACCGTGGATGATGAGGAGAGCACCATCATTATCTATGACAACTGGAGACAGGTGAGCCAAACAACACTTCATAGCTCCCACTCTGCTTCCTGCTCCCTCATTAGGCCAGTGAGCCCTCTGTGCAGCTGTATACAGTGTGTTCAGCTGCTCCTCTGTGCTGAATACTTGGACTGCTTTAAGAAGAAGAAGCTTAAATTGCTCCTTTGCAGTTTAGATTTTTCAGCACTTGGTTTCATTTGCTTTTCAGTATTTGAAGAACTCTGTGTGCTGGGAGGAATAAAGCTTCGCTGTATTAAGAGATTAACTGGGGTAATAGAAAAAGAGTTTGAAAGAGCGTGTAGAGAAATTTGCAAGCAGAACTGACAGCATATTAATGCATGAACACGAGTGTATCACAGCACTCGTGAGCACAATTTTATTGTTGGGGCAGGGTAGACTGCCTCTGATAGATTACTAATACAGCTTACATTTGACATAAAAAATGGTTCAGTTACAATATATAAACAAATGCTTACTGCATATTTAGCATTTGATCTGCTCACAGTGTGCACAGTATTTGGAGCACCCTGTATTGTTTATTGCCATCACTGTAACAAAAACTGTCAAGCTCAGAGAACTGTTGGACAAAAAGGGGACAGTCAATCTGCAGCATCTGCATCTGGTCGACTGAAGGAAAGCTCATTATCAGGTTGTTTTCCACACTTTCTTATTTTCCCGTGAGTGCAGCTCTGAGGCATCAGCGTGAGGATGTGAATAGGAGAGAGAGAAACATACAGAAAGACAGAGAAGGAGTCGCCCACAGAGCTGGTGTGCCAAATGACTACATTAATGTTTCTGATTTACTGTAGGTGCATGTGCGAAAATGCTGAAGCTACACTCTTGTGGCACAATCTGTCTTTTCTGATGTGGGGGATTATAATGTGTTACTCCTTGTGCTACCAGATGTGAGAAATGCTAAAACACACTAAAACTGTGGCTTTATAAGGAATCTCCATCCGTCCATCCTTCTAACTACTTGTCCAATTTAGGGTTGTGGCAGGAGCTTACCCCAGCTGTTGTGGGGCAAGAGAGGTTGGGTACAGCTTGGACAGGTCACCAGTCTGTTGTAGATTTTACATAGCGAGACAAATTTACTATTTATGCTCGCATTAACACCTACAGCCAATTTAGAAACGCCAATTATGGCTTTGAACCCTGGGAGGAAGTTGGAGTACCTTGTGAGAACCCACGCAGGCACGGGGACAACATGCAAATGCCACACAGAAAGGCCTCAGTTGGCACATGGATTTAAATCTGCCGTGAGGTTGCAGCGCTAACTACCACACCAAGGAATCTACTTATCTAATTTCCCAGTTACACCATTAGGGTTCATACGTTCCTCTTGGTCTGTGCTCAGTTGTAGACTTAATTAAAATTTAATGAAAACTCAGTGGACCATGGCAGCACTGACTAAAGACAAAGTGATGGTGAGTTCAGTTTGTGTGAAAAAATCACTCAGGAATTTGATATTTTTGGAGTCCCTTTGCTGCTGGAAGAGGAGTGTGCAGCTGTTGACTAACAAGGGTTTCAGGTAAAGTTAAAAAGACAGATCAGCCACCTGCTGGTTCTTCAAACACAATCTTTCTCTTTTCTGTATTTTTAGGGTTGGTGGAAATATTCATCAGAGCACTGGAAAGTAAAACATTATGAAGGAAAAAGATTTTGATTCATATGCAAAACACTACATCAGTTTGAATTAGAATCTTTGAGTTTGTTTTGGGTTTTTTAAATTTCTATTTTAGTGTCTTATATTTCACAAAGAACAAAAATGCATCATCCTCTGTCCCTGTGCTTGTCATTAAGGACCTGTCGGCTCTGCAGAGTGAGGTGTGCGTCTTGGTGTTTTCGGTGACTGACAGGCGTAGCTTCCACCGTACCGCGCAACTTCGGCTTCTCCTGAGAGAGACTCAGCCCCAGACTCCTATAATCCTTGTTGGTAATAAGAGTGACCTCGTTCGCACGCGTGAGGTCACCTCTCAAGGTGAGACGATTATCTTTTCCAAGTCACCTAAAAAAAAATATTTTTTTTGATACATTACACTTTACATTACTCTTTCATATAAAGTATAAGCATTTCCTTTGGGAGCAGATTCTTTTCACAGTTTAGTTCTGTTTTGGCTTTCTTCATTACACTTGACATTGACATTTTACGCTCTTTCTTTCTCTCCATAAACAACGTAAATGTGAATGTCATGCTTTATTGCAGTGTGGGAGTTTAATTACAGTTAAAGCAAAAGCCTGTTCACCGTGACTACGCTGCTTGTCCACACGCCACAGTTTTATATCACACAGGCTATGAAACTACATACTTTTCAACCCAGTGTATGCCATTCTTCCTTATTTAAATGACCCTGCAGACCAATACTGCAGAGGGAGATCATGGTCTGCATTGAAGATGAAACTAAAGACAAATGTGCTACAGAACTATATAAAGAAACTAAAGCAAAAAATTCCAGCTTGATTTAGCTTACTTTATACAAGCTCTGTCCTGTTTACTTAATCAGTAAATATTAACTATCACTATCACAGGCGATCCAGTCGTTGTATAAACCTCTTGATGACATACTTCATATTGCGTGTTTTGCACAGTTGGAAAACTATGAAAGATATCTCACTTAGCATGCAGACATCTTCCCTCCAGCACAGTTTTCATTACCAAGAGATAAAAGCTTGCTCTTGCTGTTTTAGTTATCTTTTTGAGACTTTAACCCTGAAATTTTCACTTTTAAAGGGTAATTGCTCCTTTGAGTAGAAGATCCTTCCATAACCCCAGCTACAAGCCTTAGATGATACACAACATATCATGGTTGCTAATGACTTACGGTGTAATCACAATATTTACAGCTACCTGTCCTTATTGATTCAGCTGTGTACACACAAATCTATTTCATTTATTCAGCCATACTTTACAGTGTGTTTTACGATGTGCTGACTGGAAACAGCGGTGGGCCTGGGATAAATGGGCACCCTTTTGTTGCTTAAGGCCAGGTTCGTGTGATGGTTTATGTTGTTATAATGGCCTTTTTCTGTATTCTGAACACAGATTAAGGCACGGATCATAAACCTGCAACGTAGTGCTCAACATTTCAAGAAGGTTTTGTGACCATAATATTTGTGACAGTATACATATTTTTTAAACTGAACATTTTCTTAATGCTTGCCTGACTCAGTACATGGAGTGCATGTACTGAGTGTTATTAGTAAATCTCAGTGGAGTCACTCATTTGTTTTTGTGTTGGACATCTGGTTGTATTCCCTGGTGTGTTTTTGCCTCAAGTGGTGAAACACGTTTGTTGTTTCCACCTTAAGCGGGAACATTTTTATCACATATTTCCCAAGTATTGTGCTTTGTAAGAGTAGCCTTCTTAGTCGTCACTGAAGGCTGACATGCAGCTCTTCCTCTTAGACGTGCCCTGGCTTGGAACCTCTACTACCAACAATCTATTACAGGTGAAGGAGTATCAAAAGGTTTATATGGATGAAAAGACATGTGGCTCTGAATATAAGCTGTGACAGCTGCCTTTTTTCTGATCTCCTCCGTCTCCTGTTTTCCTCTCACAGAGGCCATGTCTAGCGCTGCCCTTTTCAACTGTCTGTATCTGGAGATCTCCGCCTCTCTGGATCACCGTACCGTGGAACTCCTGGAGTGTGCGGTGCGACTAGCCAGGGGCCAGTCTCCCTGGCCTCCGGGGACAAGCGCCGAGGACATGAGCGGAGGAGGGCAACGTGAAAGCATCACATCTCGTGCCAAACGTTTCCTGTCCAGTCTGGTGCCTCGGTACCCTCGAGAGCGAGAGGTGGGGAAGTTCCTGAGGCAGAAGTCCCGCTCCTGCCACGATCTGGGAGCGCTGTGATGGTGCCCCACGGGGAGCAAGTGGTTAGATTGTTAACAGGGATAGCTGGAAGGGATGTATTATACCAACAAAGAGAAAAAGATGTAGTGATGCAAATGAGTAGACAAGACAGGAGGAGTGACTAAGAAAATGTGAAGGAAACAGTGATAACAGGACAATGTTGTGAGGCTCACTCATCAGAGGATAATTGTTGATAGGATGATATAGAAACTCTGTAGACAGAAAAGGAGATGATAAAATACCGTTGTAGAAACATGTAAATAAACTGTAGTAGTGACATTTAACTGCAACCTTCACAGCTTTGAGAACTAAATAAATTGTTTTTTTGAGTCTTGAGAAAGTGAGTGCACAGTGGCCTTGAGGTCTGTTATTTTACTATCTGCCACGCGTTTTATACACTGAATAGGAAATCACATTAAAAACAGTCCAAGCCCCAGATAAAGTCATGACCACACATTTTCATAACTCATTTACAGGTTATGCTTTTCTGATGATTCATTCACTGTTTGTGAGCTATTATAGTGCGCAGTAAAACAGTGAAAGGCCAGTGATGACAGGCAGGAATTAAAGAGCTTTCTTTTTTAAAAATGGACTCAAAGAGCCCAGCATGAGAATAAGAAAAGGAGCAGAAAAAGGAAAGGGAGATTATTGTATATGGAGTGATTGTTGCCATGTTACTGTTGTCAAGGAAACCTGGAATCGTTGAGACTTACACATTATGTCCATTTCAGCTCTGTGACTGCACCTCTACCCTTTCTGGTGCATGTCGACTGCGAGAGAAGAAGGATGATTCGTGCAGCAAATCATATTTTTAAGTATGGAATTCGATCCAAATTAAAATGCAAAGACTTTTTATTATTATTATTATCAGATATCAGCCTCCATGCACTCATGTGAACCACGCTCGGAACCCTCAGCACTTCCATCCTCCCACTGACACCCACACGTGAACAAAGATTTAGCACATCACAGGTCATTATACCCATCATTTGTTATCAAAGGGAGAACTGGGCTATAATACAAGTAAAAAATAAAATGGTGGCATGATATTCTGACTCATTCCCTTGGCTGCAAACTACTGGAACGAAATGAAAGGTTAAGATTTTGGATCGTGAACATGGGGTGCAAGCTCCCTCGTGTGGCTGATTTCAGGTCCTGCAGCATGTAGAACATGAAGTTAGGCATAAGAATGAGACGCAAACATAAGGTGAAGGTTTAGTAATAGAAAAGAAGTCTGCATCCCAGTTCATGACTTGCTTGCAAGCTACTTAGCTTAGGTGAAAAGCAGCTATCTTGCATGCCTCCATGCAACAAATCGCCATATTTACTACATGCAGATTCACACGGGAACCCTTTTGATTTTTAAAAATAAATACAAGTACAGATGCTTTAAGTGCTTAGACTGATATTGTAGGTATAAAAAGGATGCAGCGACTCTGTAAGGAGCAGATGAAGATGTTGCACCTGTGCCAACATTAGTCTTTTATACCATGCCCAACATTTTGCTTATTTTTAACTTGTCCTCTGTTGAAATTATCCATATTTAGCAAAGCTACTCCAAATTCAAATTCAAATTCAAATTCAAATTTTTATTTGTCACGTACACAGTCATACACAGTACGATATGTAGTGAAATGCTTGGACAACTGCTCGTGACCTAAAGAAAACAAAAAAGGAAAAGGCTATGAATAAGATAGGAAATAAATATGAAAAATTAAAAAGGGTAAATTTAACTAGGAAGGAATAAAATATAAATTAAGGTTAAAAATGAAATAACTGTACAACACAAATTAGAATGAAGGGTAAATTTAACTGGGAAGAATAAGATAAAATATATAAATTAAAGTTGAAAATAAAATAACTGTACAACAAAATACACAATATAGAACTATATAAGAATGTATGAAGAAATCTAAATATAAATAAATATATACACAATAACAGCAGCTGTACAAGTATTAACCGGAAATGAAGAATATAGTGACCAGTGTTGTGCAAAACCAAAGTCCAGAAAGTCCAGTGTGTGTGTAAGAACTGTATGTGTGGGTCAGTACTGTGTGGTGGTGTGATTGAGAGACCGTATCGCCTGCGGGAAGAAGCTCCTCCTCAGTCTCTCTGTGTTGGTCTTCAGGGAGCGGAATCGCTTTCCTGACCTCAGCAGAGAGAACAGTCTGTTGTTGGGATGGCTGAGGTCCTTCACGATCTTCCTGGCCTTGGTCCAGCACCGCCTGCTGTAGATTGAGTGCAGGTCAGGGAGCTCGGAGCGGATGGTGCGCTCAGCTGACCGCACAACCCTCTCTAGAGCTTGTCTGTCCTGCATGGTGCTGTTGCTGAACCAGGTTAAGATGTTTCCCGCCAGGATGCTCTCTATGGTGCACGAGTAAAAGTTCCTGAGCACCTTGGAGGGCAGTTGGAAGTCTCTCAAGCGTCTGAGGTGGTAGAGACGCTGTCGGGCCTTTTTCACCACGGTGTTGATGTGACAGGACCATGACAGGTCCTGCGTGATGTGAACTCCGAGGTATTTGAAGCTGTCCACTCTCTCCACTGGGCACTCGTTGATGACGGGGGTCTGGTAGTTCCTCTCCTGCTTAGTGCTGAAGTCCACTATCAGCTCCTTTGTCTTACTGACGTTTAGAAGGAGGTTGTTCCTCTGGCACCAGTTCTCCAGATTCCTAATCTCCTTCAGGTAGGCCGTCTCGTTGTTATCAGAGATCAGGCCCACCACGACGGTGTCGTCAGCAAACTTGATGATGGTGGTGGAGCTGGTAGTGGCCACACAGTCATATGTGTACAAAGAGTACAGCAGGGGGCTCAGAACACACCCCTGGGGGGCTCCAGTGCTGAGAGTGGTGGAGGCTGAGACATGTCCGCCCATCCTTACTGCCTGTGGTCTGTATCTCTTAAGATGAAATCCTGCTCATGGTGATAAAACCATTGGGAAAGTATCTGCAGAAAAACTGTCTTTCTTCTGGTTTTAAATTGAGGTAAAAATTGCTCCTCCTCATCTCCCTACATTAATGATTTAAATAGCCCTAAAGTTATCTGACTGTTCCCAAATGTATACCATGACATTAAATGTCTTGGTAATTTATTCATTTTACAAGGTTGAATGATTGTACAGCATAGATCTAAAACAAGAACTAGGTACACAATTTTCAATTTATGTAGATTTTCATGGCTACTACTGTTTGATTTAATGTCCCTTAGCAAGGTGCACTTTCACCAGGCTTTTGGTAGCCATCAACAAGCTTCTTACATAGTTCTGGTTGGGATATATGACCACTCTTACTGGCTGGATTGGTAGAGTTTATTTCCTGGCACTAACCCAGCCTTTAAGTGTAGTCCGCACATTTTTAGTAGAGGAGAGGTCAGGGATTTGGGAAGGCCATTACGCCAGTTTAATATTGGCTTGCTTCATGTATTATTTGAACAGCTTTAATATGTATTTGTGGTCATTGCCCTGTCGGAACATCCAATTGGGTCCAAGTTTTAACCATAGATGTTAAATATAGCTAATGTTGAATTTTGAGGTAGTCCATTACACCATCGCTTTTGTGCAATGTGCCAGTATTGCTGGCAACAAAACAGCCCGAGAGCATGACAGTACCACCCCAACACACAACAGTTGGTACAGTGTTACGCTTGAAAGCCAAACAGTGACAATAATGTGAAGTGGTCTAATAAGGAGTTAACAGGCCTTGGCATTTTCAGCTTAAGACATCGTAGAACCTTCAACTCCATTTTTAAAAAAAAAAAAAAAATACATGCATACACTCACTCATATCTGTATGCATGTATGTAGGTGAGCCAGTATGCATAATTTAGAACCTGGGTAATTATCTCAAAGCTCTGCACCTTTTTTAAATCATTAAGGACATATGAAGTGCACTCATTACAACCTTGGAAAAACAAAAGTTCAAAGAAATCATGAAATCCTCCAAACTATCATGGGATTCATGAATATGAGTATATAAACCCATAAAAATTAGTCTTAAAGAAAGAAAATGCGCAGAAATACATATAAGCTTTAATCATTTGTCTCTTCATGGAATGATATGTGTGACAAGCAACTACATTTAATGGGTTTTTAATAGTAAACAAAGACAGTGTGTTAAAGTGTGAAGCACGCTGGGCTCTTCAGAGGCTGCAGGCCTGTAACTTCTTGTCAGCCAGCTTGAGAGACACCCAGGTGTTGAGCATGGATGCCCTCAGTTTGCACCACACCAGGTGGTCACTCAACCCGAAGATCTGCGCTGCAAACTGGGCAGAAGCTTCTGGAGACAATACTGTGGAGCAGCCAAGACCTGCAGGACAAATAAAGTAGAGAAAGACTTGGTTACCATAAGGGGGAAAAAATTAAAACCGTATGTATGATTCACACTGCACATGTATATATTGCTGCAGAAACGATGCACCCCCCCCTTCTTCTCCAACATGTTTGCACCGAGTAGGAGATCATCTGTATCTCATTGTACATCTGTATAGTGACAATAAAGGCATTCTATTCTAAAGAGCTCTTCTCACCACTTGGCATGCGGAGGGATGACCATACATCTTGCGATCCCCAGTCTGGAGTGAGAGGAGGGCAGTTGATAACAGGGTAAGCCGTGTTACCAGACATCACTGGGCCGAGGCCGTTACTTCTCCCAGCCACAGCCACGAATACAGTGGGTATCCCATCACCTGCAAAAAAGCATAGAGAAATTATCACATTATCAAGAATCCCTAGATCAGTTTAAAGATGGAATTATGTCAATATTAAAGCACACCTTCATATTCAGCCTTGATTCGGAGCGTCTCATCTGGACCCTTGTGTGCCGAGGTGACTCTGAGGACGCAGGGGATCCCGTAGGAGGTGCACGCCTTTCTTATCTTCTCACAATGGGCCATGTCTGAGGTGGAACCCATTAAAACCACCACCCTGCTGCTTGCCTGGGGCTTCAGCAGCAACTGTAGATGCACAGAAACCATTGAATCATCAGTTTATTTCAGTTTTTGACTGCTCAAATTGTACTCGTTTTTTTCCCTGAATTGCATAAAAAGCAGCTGCAGGCTTTTGTGATGTTAAACAATGTCTGTTGGTTAAGATATTCAAAGCAAAATACTCCTACAAGATAAAGAAGAATTTAGAGTTTGTTTGCTGTACCTTGACCCTTTCAGAGACCCACTCAAAATTTCTCTTCACCATCTGCATTGCCTCTGGGGTAACCTCCTTCAGGTCTCTGTACACCTACAAAGGGGAAGAAAAAAAACAGTTTAAGGCTTGTATCTTCCCCCCCCTCCCTCATATCAGCATGAAATGAAAGTCAATGCATGACCTGTTTATCTTTCTGCTGGCTCCGATCTCCAGCTGGCCAAAGCCTCCATGAATCATTATCAATCACGTCAGCGAGCACAATCTCTTGAGTTTTAACATTGACACCAAATTCAATCTATAAGCAAAGAAAAAAGTCCTTAATTGTAGTTCTGCTGTAGGTACAGAAGAAAAGTGATTGCACCAAGATATGAAATTAACCAGCAGGGGGAGGTGCTGCACAGCCTACCTTCATGTCCACCAGGGTGCAGTTCTGAGTGGCCCAGGCCTTCTCCAGAATCTCAAAAATGGCCACAGTGCTGCGATTCATTATGTCCACCTCACACTGACCAATAGTGAGCCCAGCCAGACAGAATTTGGCCTCCAGCAGCTGCTCCTCTGACCACTGAGGATCATTGTTGGCATCATCCTAAAAACAATCATTGATGAGTTTGCATGCAACACTCACAGACTGAAAATGCATCGAGAGAATCACTGCACGCCTGGAAGACTCACTTTAAAGAACATCTCCATCTTTAGAGGAGAAAAGCGGTAGCCCTCTTTGACTCCTGGATTCCTCTTGAGGAAAGATCCAGTCGCCACTCTGCGACATACCCACTCAATGGGTATCATCTCACAGTGCGCTGCAATGAACGCCGTGTCCGAGTGCTGCTTAACAAAAGCTGTCTTAATGCCTGGGGGGGGAGGGTGGATGTTAGGGCAACCTCAAACTAATGGACAAATTTCAATATGTGCAACCATGTCAGATTAGAAAAATATAGATTTTATTTAATTTTTTATACACTGGCACACAGATGGCTCTTCAAGTTACCATGATTTAAACCTATCTTTGATTAGGGTCAAGTGGATGGGATGTGGCTGGTTGGATCGGGTTAATTCTAAGTGGAAACACATCAAGTCACAAGGCAGCCATTACTACAGCTTGACTGACCTACGCGTCACACACAAGATGGTTACAGTTAGCCAATTGCTTATAAATTAAAGTCATATGGAAAGTAATTTTGGGATCATGTAAATCTTGCATGCCCTTCACATTTAAGTATTTTTGCAAGATTGTCATTTCTGTTCAATTCACCCCCCCATCCATCCATGAAACACAACATAAAATTCAGTTCTTAGTGGATTGTCATTCAGAGGGTTAAAAAAAAAAAGAAGTCATTTTTAAAAAGTTGCAAAAATGAGAAGAGCCGAACTGCTTCCCATGTGTGGAAAACTGATTACCATGTACTTCTGAGATATTTAAATAAATCCAATGGCATTTCAGAAAAATCCTGCAAACTGAATAAGTGAGCCAGGGCTCTGACAAAGTGTGACAAACGTTTTATATTTTCTTAACATTTAAGCTCCCACATTAACTGAAACTGAAAAGATCAATGAGTCCAAAGTTTGTTTTTTTCCAGTAAACTCTACTGAATCAATTTACCTTTGATAGTTTGTTGCTCACAAAAACTTCTGCAGAAACAATGTGCCTAGATACTGGCCAAGTGTAAGGGACTTTTTTTTTTTAATGGGAAAAAAAAAAGAGAGCTGCAATAATTATACACATGCGTTTGACAGAACTGCCCCAACCCACTCAGACTGCAGAATACTGTCCCCCCCTACAAACATTCAATAAGTCCTCACCAGACTCCTGCAGCAGCTGGAACACGCAGCTCGTAGTTTTGTTGGCAATGGCAGCTTTGCCCTCCATCTGATCTTTCCTCACGGCATTCCCAGCCGTGATCTGGTCTTTAGACTGGACTAGAACCAGTCCCGGCTGGTCCAAGAGCTCGAAAATCTGTTTTGTCTTGCCCTCATTGAGCTTTTGGCCGACTTTCAACTCTGAAAAAAAAGAGGAAAAAGTTAAAACACGCACATCTAACTTAAGCGCTAACGTGTGTATTAAGGATCGTGCAGTACCTGGGGTGGATGCCATAGCGCTCGTCGATCCTGAACAGTCCTGAAAGACAAATCACAAAACACGCCAGTTAACTTATTGAGAAGCAGAAGGTGTGCAGGCAGCCGGGGAGGGGAAGTGGGCCGTGTCATACTTGCGCCGGGAGCCAATCACAGTTCTCAACTCATCTAAACAACCAATCACAGCGGCGCACGTGAAAGGGAAGCGCTCAAACGTCAAGAGAAGACGTAAAAAAAAAAGAAAAAGAAAAAAACTTTTGGAGGTTTTTCTACCAAAGTTCATCCTTTTACTCTTTGATGAGAAGGTTGTCTTATCAAAAGCTCCAACAGGACTAAATAGTGTGGTTTTTGACCTAATCGATTAATTTGATTAGAATTATTCGTAAATTCCACGTATTCCATTTAATTCGTTATGATTTTAGTTATGGCGGACCGGTTGTTAGGTTAAAACGTGTCTAGTCTGATTTAACTCTGTTACTCGTGATTTCATGCCCAATTCAGCAGTGTCAGCTGAGTTTGGTATGTTTTAACAAACCACGTTGTATCGCTGCAAGCACGTGTTTGGTCACGAACGTGTATCAGGCAAGCGCTCATACAAACACGCGCGCGCACGGTAATTGCTCACAGACAACTAGGCGCGAGACTAGACCGCAGTTTATACGAGAGGCATCGGCGACAGGCGAGCCCATGGAGTTCGAGGAGTCGGGTATTGGAGAGGAGTGCGGAGTCTTTGGGTGTGTCGCTGCGGGAGAGTGGCCCACACAGCTGGAGGTGGCTCAGGTCTTAACTTTGGGGTTGGTGGCGTTACAGCACAGGTAAGTAACGGAAAACCAGTTACTCCAAAATTGGTAACGACTGAAAAGTTACCACACTAGTTAATGACGTCCAAGCTTTGCATTTTAGATGAAATGTTTGGTTTAAATTTGAATCTGACCCAAACTTGAGCAAGAAAAACAAAAATGCAAGATGTGAATTTTTGCAGAAAGCAACCTCATGCATCTACAGTATTGTGCAAAAATATTGACCCCCGCTCCCCCTTTTCTTTATATTTTGCAGAGAAATTAGAAAAAAACGGTAGCGACTTTTTAAATATGCACAGAAATAGGCTGTATATGACAAAAACTGAGTTTTTACTACTCTAAAGAGCATCAAAGCAAATATTAGTATGACAACCTTTATTCTTCAACACAACCTGAATTCTCTTATGGAAACTTTCTTGTAACTTCTGTAAGTAGCCTTCGACACTAGTTCTCCTGGCTTGTTGAAGGACATTCAGAGTTTGTCTTTGGATGTTTGTTTCCTTGTTCTGTTTTCCCTCAGTCTGTCAATTCTGCCATCCCACATTGCTTTAAAAATGTTGAGGCTGGGCTCTGGAGAGGCCAATCCATGACTGACCATGTTTCATTGTGTGTGTGTTCTTTCTGTCCAGGTATGCATTTCCTGCATTGGCAGTGTGTTTGGAATCACTCCTGTGCTGAAAAATGAGGCATCAATCAGATGCTTCCTCGCCATGCTAGATCAAAATCTGTCAGTATTTTTCTTTATTATAATTGAATCAGAGGCAATACAACCATGATAGAACCTCCACTGTGTTTTAAAGATGGCTCTCTATTTTACCTCTTGGTTTTTTTTTTTAACACACTGATGGCAGTTTGAACCGACAATTGAATATTAATTAATCACATCACTGTCGTCACAGATTTTTCAGTCCAGTTCTTGTGTTATTTGGCATACCTCAGTTCTTCCTTCATGCTCCCCCTCCTTAAGAATGACATCTTTACAGACACCCTCCCACTGACCACTGAAGAACCAAATCCATCTCTTAGGTCCTTTGACAGCCCCCCCCCCCCCCACACACACACACACACATTTTTTGTTCATTTGAAAAATGAAAAACATGAAGAGTTAAAAATGCTCAGTGACAAGGTCTACACTGAAAAGGAGTGAAAGAGCAGCCAATGTCTAGTGAAAACTATAAAAAAACTTATGTATGTGTAAATACATTACTAAGGCAAGAATAAAAGTGAGCTTTGCATATTTCCTAAGGTTTAGCTATATAAATGTACATGTGCATAAGTTTAGGTTCAACACTGTGGACAACAAAAAAAAAATTACTTTGTATAAAACCAAAAAACATATGTATGAATTAGTTGTTCCAGTATTGGAGAGTACTCAGCCATTTGATTGCTATACCATAATTTGACTGTATTTAATCCCTAATGTTTTGTAATAATTCTTGCAGTGTTATTGGTTTTCAAAATGGAACATTCCCTTAGCTATCTATATTACAAGGACATGTTATTCTTAGAGGATCCCAGGCAAGGATTGCTGTGTTAAGTGTAAAGAGCTGCAGCCACACCATGGTTCTCTACAATGTTCTGGCAACCAAGCACTCAACTCTTTCTGAGTGGGCATTGGATTACTTCATATAAAAGCACCAAATATGCCACATGCTTCTTTGCACACTAACTTTCTTTTTGGGATAACCAGCTTTTTTGGTGGTTATGACAAAGTGCTATATATTTCTGAATGCAGCCAGGTCATCCACTTGCTCAGCGCAGTAAAGTACCTTCCCGATTCAGAGGAGGTGAATGTTATAATAAACAACAACCTTAAACTCTGCTGCAAAACCTGTATTTCTACAGGTTCTGTCCTGTGACTGATTGGGTAGTAAAGCCTGAACACGGGTAGGACAATTTCTGGATATTTATCTACCACAGAATCAATTTTTTCAATAAGCAGGGTTTTTTCCAGTTTCTACTGTGTCAGTAGACCATTTTGCTGAAATGCTTTGCAAGCTGTGCGAAAAACCTCAATCACTTACTTGGGTGGTTGCCTGATTTGTGGCACTGTGATCTACCACAATGGTAGATGCCTTCTCAAAAAGGCTTTGGAAAGCATCATTAGTTTTGCCTTTTTTGCCTCAGTGTGGGACTCAACAGACAGCCTGCATACCAGAGTTGGTTTGTGACGTTCTTTGGAGAGAAATATTGAGATTTTGTAGCTCTCCAAACTGATCTCCTGCATCCTGACAGTTTGCTCTACATCATAGGACTGGCATAATTCAGGCTGTGTCTTTAGCCATTTTTGAAAGGCTGTCTTACCTTCTGCCTTGTGTTTAAGAAGTTGGCACAGGTTTCTGATATTACCAAGCATGACCTCTTGAAGCTCAATGTTCTTGGGCTAAATACTTGAAGCATACATTCTTAAGCAATGAAGGCCTTGCTTTCTTCTGTTCTTCTTGAGCACACACTGAGAAAAAGACTACTCAATAGCTTTTCTCTTTTTTGTACAATTTTTGAGTCTACACTCATAAAAGCCAGATTTGATTGCCTAGCAGTTAGCAATTTTTTGTTTTCTCATCGACTCTGGTACAGTGGAAACACAAAACACCTTTTAAAGTGTCACTGTAGTTAGCAACATTTTATCAAGCAGCTTTTCTGAAAACATATCATATGATTGCCACATTCTTGGTTCTGATGACATATTCGATACAGTTGTTGAGACCATGCTAGTTTTAAGTTACTGAGTTGAAGGCAACTGGATTTCTTTTTTGGTTCATGAAGCTGTCCCACATAGAATTCACACTTAGGTCTTGTGACCGAAATAACCCATCCATTTAGTCACATGTCAGCTCAACTGATGTGACCCTTAACGACTTGCATAAAAACCGGGTGGGTCAACGATCCTCAGGACACCCTCCAAGAGCACAACCCCACTAAGGGTTAAAATACTTTGTTTTTGGAACTGAAAAAGCTTCACACATGAGAGGTGAAATGTCTTCAAGAACCAAAAGGCCTGGTTTCCTTCATCTAGCTTGCAATTTAATATATCATTCTTTTTCTCCCAATTTCATTGAATTTAGAAAGCCAACCCGACAACCTCCGGTTAGCAGATTGGACAGCGCAGAAGAGCTAGCTCATCAGGACAGGGCTGTTTACACCTACAGGCCAGTGGCCACTCTTTCAGTGACGATGTGCACATCCTGGTTTGAGTGGCGAGCCGTTATGTGAAAAGGGGATGACATCTTTGAACTATTGTTCATCATCTTAGAGTGATGTGATTGCAGCCAATTCCTAACACTGTCTAAATGGTACTCATGCTACCAATGGTCATGACAGTTTGCATACTAACAACCATGGAACTGAATTTGTGGCTCATTGTTAGTCAATGGTGCTGGTTTCAGTTGTTATGCAGCTATACCGCTCAAGTACTGTACTGTAAAGTTGTGGAAAACTGCAGTCAGTCGATACTGAAGAAGTCACCTGGATAAGCGATGAAACATTTCCATTGAAAATGCTGTGACCAGATGAAGAAAATCAACTTTCTGGGATTTTCTGACATGGATTAGTGAATAACCCTTAAGACATAACAGTTTTCATTCATAAAAGCAATAGAGCTGCAGCTTTTTTTTATTTTTATTTTTTATGATATATGCATTAATCAGTTCACCTTTGTTTTTGCAATCTGAAACAATCTAAAACCTAAACATGTTCAAGTTTGCAATCATAATTTTAATGTTCGGCATTTTTATTTAAAAAATGATTAACTGATTATCACAATGTTCGCCAAATAATCTGTCACTCGATTAATCAAGTAGTTGGGGTAGCTTTTAAAAAGTTGCCACAACAGCTTTTATTATTTAAAAAATACCTCAGTTTTATAATGGTCACATGAGATCAGTATATGTTACCTGTAATTCTGGCGACGGAGCAGGGGTGGCCATTGAACAGACTGAGTTGATCTTTATTATTGGAATATGGTCCGTCTCTTCTTTACACTGGCTGTGGAGTCTTTCAGCAACGAGAGGCCCAATGTTCAGCTTTTTTAGTGGTGTGTGCAGTCCAGGGTCTGGAAATAAGGACAAAGGTTTACATTAACCTACTTTTTAAGTACTACTAGTGTAACATGTTAGCTCCTAGTAGGGTTATGCGAGTTGTGCATTTTATTAGAAGTCATGACCATATCCTTATCCATAATTTAATTATGAAGCGCCATGGCATATCATGGGACTTAGCCAGAAATTACAAAAGCTTCAGTCAATTGTGGATGTCACGTGACATTAAAAGGGATTACAGAAGGAGACATATTTCAGACCTTCATCTACAGCTTTCCTCTTGATTCTTCTGTGTGTTGAAGTAGTATCCTCTCTTTCCACCACACTCTCAGAAGCACCTGCAAAAATATAATATTAAAGGTAGTTACAAAAATACAAATATGCATTTTTTGCTACAAAAGAAAAGAATTGTCTTGGTACTAAACATAGTAAGACTGGCTTAAGACCACCTCGGGACTCCTTTTTAAATAAAATCTTTAAACTATAATAATAATATATTTTATATGTATATAATAATATATTTTAAAACCAAGTTGGACCAAGTTGTCTACTAATTGGAAAGTTGTTGGTTTGATGTCCGACTTCTCTGGACTGAAGTATCCTTGGGCAAGATAATGAACCTAAAGTTCAGCTGATGCATTGATTGATTTCTCATGAAGTGGTTAGAAATCTGTGCATTTTCTATCACATTTGGTAACAGATTCAGTGCCTTGACTTTGCTGGGGCTAATCTTGCATACATGTGTCATAAACCAAGAAAAGTCTGTTGTGAGCCAGGGAGAACCCTGAACTAAATGTCATCGGTTTGTTTTGTGTATGGGAAATATATTAAGACATAATGTAAAAAAAAAAAAAAACACATTTGTTTTTGGCTGTCCAAGATGGTCCTGCTTGATTATCTTACTCATGGTAACTGACCACTGAAAGCATTATGTAATCTTTTTCATCTAATTCATGCTGATAATAATGATGATGATTAAATGATCAGCTCACTCATCAACATGTGTTCTTGATCCAGATAATGCTCCTTAATTTTATGTCGCTTTGGCTCATAAGCATTTGATGTAGCCTCGATGGTTACTGATAAGTCCGAATCAGAGGTGCAGGTTTTGTCCTCCAAGGCTCCCTCCACAGCTCTCCTCGTGTTTGTCAACTTGCCGTCCACGTGATTTTTCTCATCACAGTTGTCAGATGTAGTAAGTCCGCCTGAATCTGCAGACTCGGCTGCTCCTGTGTCTCGCAGAGAGTCGTTAGCCGTGCGATTCATAATGGAGTCCACTTCCTCATAGAACCTCATGAGACGTCTCGGGTCAGCTTCATCAGTCTTGCCCCTTTGAAGGGACCTGTAGAGGTACTTGAGGTTCTTGTACTTTGTGTGGCACTGTTTCCAGTCACGTTCAATGCCTTGTTGCATTAACCTGTTCGAGATCTGGACAAAGATGTCCCTCTTTCTGGTTGAGCTCTCCAGCTGCCTGCGTATGCGCTCATCCGACCAGACTTGGATCAGGGCTCGCACCTCTTGGTCGCTCCAGTTTCGACCCGTGTCCGACACTGTGACTACTTGGAACTGGTCAGAGCTGGAGTCTGTGTGTGCTAGATGGGCGTCTGGGATAAAAGAAGAACAGATATGGAAGGAAAAGTTTAATTATGCTGCTAAACTCCACAGTTGATTTGGCAGATTTTTCTTTTTCGGCATACCTGCACTTCTCCATTTTACTTCCATTTCTCCATCCATGTCGTAATCGTCACTGTTGTCATCTTAAATGATAAATACATAAGAAAATTATTTTCACGAAGTCTTGAATCTAAAACAACTGCTTGCAAACTTGATGCTTACCATCATCAATTTCAATGACCACCTCACTCTTAGAGCCCGTTATCTGCCCTGTGTGGCCTGCTGCTGTTTGTAGCCTGCCTGCTTCCATTTCACCATCATACAGTCTCTTCTGCATTTCCCTGGTCCCATTTTCCAGTCCTTTGTCCAGTAGAATGGCCTCCACTTCATCAAAAAACTTCATGTATTTCCCCGGGCTTCCTGCACTGCTGCCTCCCGCAGCGTGTGCACTTTTCGCAGTCTTATAGTCATATTTCAAATTCTTGTATTTTGTACGGCATTGTTTCCAGTTCCGTATCACCCCAAAGTTTCTCTGCATTTGACGAGCCATCTCTTGGAATATGGATTTGTTGCGCAGCGTGCATTTCAAACGTTCCCGAATGTTGCGGTCAGCCCAGACGCACAGCAGCGCTCTAACCTCGTCATCCGTCCAGTGGCGGCCTCCCTCTTCAGCCACATTAGTAGAGTAAGAAACAGCTGAATGAAATCGAGTCTTCATTCCTGTGCACACATGAAAACATTGTAAATTTTGGCTAAATGTTGATGTAGAAAAAACCCAAAGAAGAACAAGATGACTTTTATGTAAGTGTTTGAATTACTTTTTAGCACAAGCAAGCTAAGAATAGTTTTAACTGGCGTGTCTGTTTATCCTTGGATACCAGTTTTTGTTTTTTCCCAAGGTGGAAAAAGTCATGTTGTTATCATCAATAGTACAGTGGTGTTGTACATGTTTACCTTCCTGGACTGGGTAGATTCTTCTTTGATTATCCACATCTTCTTCCTCCCATGGCCTTTCAAGCGGCCTTTCTTCCACTCCTTGGCTGTAGTTTGCCGATGTGCCTGCGTCAGCCTTCCTGCTCTGAAGTCTCATGCTTCTGCATTTGGCCTGACACTCCCTCCAGCTGCGCACAACACTGAGCCTCCTCAGACGCTCTGAAATCACCTCAAATGTGCTTCTGCTCTCTACTACGTGCTGAGCTCCAACCTGGTCCCACACTGAGAGTAGAGCCAGCACTTCTGCTTCCCCCCACTGCCTCTCCACTGAGCCTTTTTCCTCCCCCACCTCACTATCACCTCCTCTTTGTCTCTCTGCTCCTCTCTCCATGTTTGAGCTGACCTGGAAACGCTTTCTTTTCCCCCAGCCTGTCTGTCTCTGCTGCCCGGTTCCCTAGGCAACCAGGCGGTTAAGCCTGAAAGCAACGCCTTCATGCTGAAAAGCAGCCTCACCACTGGCTTAAGCTGTGTGCTGAGGGGGCGGGACTAAGTGTAATCTGAGAAGCAGCTTGGTAATGGATTGAAACTGCAGCAAGGCGACTCTCCATATATGGCAGCCTCACCGCAGGGAAGCAAATCTGCTTTTTCCTTTTTTGGGGGCGGATTTTGTTTCTGCTCCATTTGGCCCTCGTTAAACCAGTTTTGATTTGCCTCAAGGCAACCGTAACTGACTCAAGTTTATTCTTGCAGAGAAGAAACAGAAATCGTTCATGCAAAAAAACACACTTCCCACTAATACATGAAAATTTACACTGTAATTGTGTGTGTGTGTGTGTGTCTCTACTCAGGGGACAGGAAAGTGCTGGGATTGTCACAAGTAATGGAGCCAGTCCACCCACGTACACAGCACACAAGGTAACACTGAATCATGATCAGAAGCTTCTTATATGATAAAACAGAAGCACAGTTTAACCCAGCATCTCAAAAACAGACCCAGGACGTATTTGGGTTGCGTCCTGAATATATTTCCATTTGGCACAGTTACATCAAAACAACCCAGCTGGTCAGAATCACACTGAGCACTTTAATGTTTGGCCTTTACAGACATGTTTTAAAGCCTTCAGACATCCTCATTGTTTGCTGATTTTCTGCTTTTTAACATCACTTTTATTTATTTTAAAATATTTTTGTGCAAGTTAAAACCTTCACAGAGCAATGTTGTCATTTTATAGGGAATGGGATTAGTGAGCACCGCTTTTTCACCAGAGGCTCTCACTAAACTGCGCTATGGTAACCTCGGCATTTGCCACACACGCTATTCAACCACTGGGATCTCAGAGCTGCAGAACTGCCAGCCCTTTGTGGTGGATACACTGCATGGCAAGATTGCTGTAGCACACAATGGAGAGCTGGTTAATGCCCATGCCCTGCGGAAAAAGGTGAGGAGGGGGCTCTGCTTGTCCACACTGAATGTTGCGCATATCAATGTGACATAAAAATAATGAACTGAACACACACAGACACAGTTTTTCTTTCTGCTGAAATATTTATTTGCTATATCCAATCTTAACGAAGGTTATGGGCTGGATGTCAACACTTTCACATACCAGAGCTGCATCCATCATCCAGTCAAAGGATTTGTTTGACTATTAAGTGTTTTGCGCTCTCAAAAGAATTTGTATCTGCAGTTAATGCTCGCATTAATGAGAAACAAAATGAATAGCTTTTTAAAATGTATATCTCTTAAGAACATTTCAGGCTGAAAATCTAAAAAAAAAAAACCCAAAAAAAACCCCAATCTATAAAATGTAAGCTATATTAAACTGATTTTGCCCCAGGGTGGTTGTGACTACAATGTAGCTTGCCATCACCAGTGTGTGAATGGGTGGATGACTGGATGTGTAAAGTGCTTTTGGGTCCTTAGGGACTAGTAAAGCGCTATACAAATACAGGCCATTTAGCATAATTTAACAAATGTGTTCCCATCCTGTCTTTTTCTCAGCAACCTCTCTTCCAATCTGAGGCTAAAATACACAGGAAGTTTTGACTATATTTATGAGAATGTGCACTGAGTGAGAATTCCACACATGATTTGCCATGAAAAATCAGTACCAAATCATTAACTGCTCTCTTAAACTTCACTCCAAATTTCAAAAGTCTGAACGCTCAAACAGGCTTTTTGAAGTTCTGCCATCACTCTGATGGTTCAGTAAATCAATTACATTTACCTTGTCAAAGGTGATTTGAGACACTTACTCATGCTGGTTGTATAAGTGGATCTTGAGAAAGCTGTATTACCATAATCGGCTCGTTCGACACTGCCATTTCTATGATTATGCTTTCATACAAACCTGCACATTCACTGAGTGCATATTTATAACTGTCCTCTTTTTTTTTTTTTCTTTTTTTTTTTTTTTCTTTAAAGTAATCTTATGACAATCCATGCACTTTATATTATATATCTAGTCGACCAATTACGATGAATTAATAAGATTTTTTTTTTTTTTTTTTTTTTTACGCAGACCTTGTCAGCTGGATTTGGTTTTTAACCAATTATACATAACTAACCTTTCAGAAGGAAATTTAAAGCTTTACATCAAATAAGTCCTATTCTTTAGGTAAATTTAGACTGCCTCCCCTTTTTCCTAACAAGAAGTCAGTATCTCTATTCATAAGTGGCACTGAAACATGCTCAGTCCAGCTGGATCACATCAACGTCCCTTCTCGAGTGCACTTTGTGATCACTAACAAAAATCTGTGTGTCATGTATATGTGTTGTGTTTTTGTTTTTTGTTTTTAAGACAAGCCAGACCTTTATATGGAATATACAGTACGTACTACCTATTGAACTGGACGGTGAAATAGATCATCAATAGACCAATGGATTAACTTCATACTCTTAGTTGTCCTTTATGCTCAGCAGCCATCTTGGAAACTGCTTCAGGTGATTATGTGGACAATTATTTTAAAGTGATTTAGTTGATAACATTCAGTTGGCAAGTAAAGGTCACTGTTTCATTTCCAGCCAGAGACACAAATCCTCTTTGTGCATCAAGAAAGTCAGCCGGTATAAATCTCTGCCAACTTAAACATGTGGCCAACCTCTTGTGACAAGCCAGAATCTTAAAGTAGCTTTGTCTGATCTGAAAAACCCATAAATTTCATTTTGATGGCCGCTGAGACGTAAAAGCAGGACTGATTTAGAAATAAAATGTAAAAAACACAAAACACTTTTCTCCAGAGTCCTGACTCACATTATAGATGCAATAATTGAAGGAAAAATAATAAGTAGACTTATGTATATCTTTGTGTCATTATATAGCAGCTGTGCCTAAGCGCAGTTAAAACTATCATGAACATCAGGCGAGCCTAGACGTCAGTGCAACAACATGATTGGCCTGTGTCTCTTTCCCAGAGTGGCTGTTGAGTGGCTCTTTGAGGGCAGGGGTGTGACAACCATTTCCATTATAAAATTTTCCAAAGACTGCTATTCCACAGAAAATAACATTATTCCATAATTAATCAGTCACTATAAATGTGCCTTGTAGGTGATGCGCCATGGTGTCGGCCTCTCCACCAGCTCAGACAGTGAGCTCATCACCCAGCTGCTGGCACTGACTCCACCTATGGAGGAGCTAGACTCACCTGACTGGGTTGCCAGGTGACTGTTGTGACCTAATGATATATAAGCATAAATATTTTTGCTTTACATTACTTTAATGCTGTTTTTATTTGTTTTTTTTTGTTTTTTGTTGTAGAATTAAAAACCTCATGACTGAAACGCCAACATCATACTCACTGCTGGTCATGTTCAAAGATGTAATCTACGCAGTGCGTGACCCTTATGGAAATAGGCCACTGTGCATTGGGCAGCTCGTTCCCATCTCTAAACTGCACAATCCAGGTATCTACACAGTTGTTGCATGTGACCGTTGCATCAGAATTAGTGCAACTGCAGAACACAGGCATGTTTGCTCTCAAAAGACTAGCTTTACTGATAAAAAGGACGCCTCACGAGAGGTCAATGGTGCAGCAGAGCTTTTGGCCCTTTTGATTTTGTCAGAGGTCAGATGTGTAAGCTGGTGAATGATTAACTTGATTCTTGTTTTTTTTTTTTTTTTTTTTTTTTTTTTTTTTTTAAGCAGGCGCTCAAGAGGAAGACACTGAGGGGTGGGTTGTGTCATCAGAGTCGTGCAGCTTCCAGTCGATTGGTGCCAAGTAAGCATTTGTTACCTTTGCAAAAGTATTCTTTAGTATAAAAGGAACCGTAATGCCAGGTGTAAATCATTTTTATAACCTTATTTTTTTATTTTTCTTTCTTTCCCAAAGGTTTCATATCATTTGCCTTAGGCCACGAGTACTTTTTTTTTTTTTTTTTTTTTTTCCTATTTTGGCGCTTTACACTCTCCCCCCCCCCCCCCATAAAGATGGCTTTCGATAACAATCCTGTAACCTAAATGACAAGTTTTGACTAAGGCTGTCAGTGTTAATCGCGTTAAAATGACGTTGACGGCAAAACCGCGTTAACGCAGCATATCTCCGTTAACGACCGACATGATTAATGCCGACAGCCCTAGTTTTGACACCTTAGTATATTCTAGTAAAGACGTGATTCAATGACCATCGTAATAGTTCTGGTGTTTCCCAGTGGTAACGACATAGCTTTTGATGCACGCCCATTGCTGTTCGGTTCCGGGTCGCTGCTCGTGCGGCCAGCTACCTAGCCTGACTTGTCTCCCCAATGTGATGTTTGTGTATTTTATATACGGTCGGCAAGGTCAGTCTCTTAATTGCCCCTTGGGGATAAATTCTTCTGAATCTGAATGCATGAACAGTGAAATGGTGTTCCTTGAGTCCATCCGTTCATTGTACTTTTTTGTCGTTATTGATTAACAGGTACTACAGAGAGGTCTTGCCAGGAGAGATAGTCCAGATATCCAGACATGGTGTCAAATCTCTGAGTGTTGTGCCCCGACCTGAGGGAGACCTCCCAGCCTTCTGCATTTTTGAATATGTTTATTTTGCCAGACCAGACTCTATTTTCGAAGGTATGCATATTTATTATGGGTAACACACTTACTGATTACTCATTTCTTAAATGTATTAATACTGAAATATCAATGTACTACAGGGCAGATGGTCTATACTGCCAGACAGCGATGTGGGCGGCAGTTGGCCATCGAGTCTCCGACTGATGCAGACGTTGTCAGCACTGTGCCAGAGTCTGCAACCCCTGCTGCTCTGGGCTACGCTGAGCAGGTCTGTCTACAGTGTGTCTGCTCCACCTCAGTAATCTTATAATATACCGGGTGGACTTACAGTCTCACTAGTTTTTCTTCTGTCTTCTTCTCACAGTCTGGTCTTCCATACATTGAGGTTCTGTGTAAAAACCGCTATGTTGGAAGAACTTTTATCCAGCCAAACACCCGCTTGAGGCAGCTAGGAGTGGCCAAGAAGTTTGGAGCACTGACGGACAACTTTGCTGGGAAACGAGTGGTGCTCATTGACGACTCCATCGTCAGAGGCAACACAATTTCCCCTATTATTAAGCTGCTGAAGGAAGCGGGTGCCAAAGAGGTTCGTTTAATAGTGTTTGGCAATAGTTGTTGATATAGCACACACAACATTTTGGCAGAGTGGCTCAGAAACTGGTTGGTTTGGATTGTCTGATAATTCAGACTGTAAGTAGACTAGAAGCACAGGAAAGTAACATAAAACTGGAGTTTTTTTCTTTTTTTTCTTTTAATGGCAGTAAGTGGAATAAGTGAGAAAAGCCCATGTGTTTGTCACATTGCGTACTATACTTACATCAGGGGTTCATAGAAAATATTAGGCTCATTAACTGTCAACTCAAAAAAGTGGGCGTACCACAAGAGCAGTCTGAGACTGTATTTCCAATAAGACAGAAAATTCCCTCCGCACTATGCATGAATTAAAACCCCAAATCCAGGATATCTGGATCTAAATTTTGGGGGTATTTTCTTGAACATCCCAGTTATTATTTCATTGATACATGTTTATTTGGGAATATCTAATCTTGTAATACTAAAGATAGGAAGTGATTAACTTTTGGATTTTTTTAAAAGTTGGGCCAAGCCCCACGTCTGGTAAACCATTTTTATGAAAATCGGTCCCTAATCAGATTTATGGCATGAGTAACATACTCTCATTCATCATTTTTGGGCCTACTAGTCAATCTGATCTGAACCGTAATTCACATTTTAACCAAACATTCATGCAGCACTTTATTGTCTCTTCTTCTATACACATCAAGTGCTTGATGTGTATAGAAGAATAGATAAATGCTACATTTTTGCCACACTTAGTAAAGGTAAATAATCATTGTTACATGAATTAACGGAAGATACGTTTTGTTTTGTTATTTCTGACCATTTGAAGAACAAATATTGGTCCTGAAAAGGGCACCTAACTGTGTGTGACCAGAATATAGTCACACACTAACTTTGTGTTTATAGTAACCTAATTATTCTTCTGGACAGGTCCACATCAGGGTGGCTTCTCCACCAATCAGGTTCCCTTGCTACATGGGCATCAACATCCCAACCAAGGAGGAGCTCATTGCCAACAAGCCGGAGTTTCAGGACATTGCTGGTTATATTGGTATTTAAAAATGCACATCTACCATTCATTTCTTTGCCTGGTCAGAACAAAAGCTTGTGTTTAATGCTAACGCTATTTACAGGTGCTGACAGTGTTAAATATCTGACTGTGGAGGGCCTCGTATCTGCTGTCCAGGAGGGTATTGCTTTCCATATTGAAAAGGACAAAATTAATTCCAATAACAAGTCCAACAGGAAAGTGGGCCACTGCACTGCCTGTCTGACTGGGAAATATCCAGTGGAGCTGGAGTGGTAACTGCTGCACCAACAGTAGCACTGTGGATGGTGCTGCAAACTTTAAATAAAAAAAAACCCCCTTGTTCTACATATGGTTTATCTCAACATTGCCAGCCGGAACACTAAGATGTTGCACAACTACAGAAGGTTACTTTATTCAGAACCCCAGGAAGCTAAAAGTGATGCTTTTTCTCACCTGTGGTGGCTAAGCTTTTTTCTTTTCCTGTTCCTGGATGTGACTAATTCCAGGTGTGTATTTCTTACCACACAAGTATGTTTTTGTTTTGCAGCTGCATTTATTGAAAAGTAGATTTCCACATGTATTCAAAGCATTTACAATGCCAGAAAAAGCGCACACGATAAATGACCAAAACATTAAATCATCTTTATTTCTGTTATTTACTTAAGACTGTTTTGTTTGGGTTTTGGGCTGTTTGCTCAAATTTGAACAATACAGGAATATGATGTATGAATAATAAACAATAACTACAATGACAAGTACTTTTTTTTTTTTTTTTTTTTTTTAAATAACTACATTCTCCCATTGACAATTTTATTTCAATAATGAATAGACAGAAAAAATGGACATCAAACATATTCAAGAAATGATAGAACATAAGAACAATTATAATCAATTAAAAATAGTTCAGAGAGATTAATTATCAGCGGGTTTCCATCGCAGAACTAGATGGTCATACATTTCATTAAATTTCATCGGCCCATCTCCTTGATGATCCCCTTCATCGCCATTTTCTGTATGTGACGGGAAAAGGTGAGTAAGAACACATCAACCCCCAGAGGCCAAAAATATCTTGTACATGGGAATTATTTTAGTCACCTGGGAGAGTAGCCACAGGTCATTTTGCTCTCTAGTGAACTTCCTGTTGAATAAAGCATAATGATTAGGTAATCAGAAACAAGTCAAGAAAACTATGAAGATCAGATGTGAAGGGACAGACAAACTTCACAGGTGCAGTGTTGGTCATTTAGTAGCTGTCATTTTTGTGCGAGTTGTATGCTACAGTGACCTCTGTCTGCTCCACTCAGTATGAGAATGAATTTTGGCTTGTACGGCCTCTCATACAAACACACAGGCGTGCTCTCTTTCTCTTTCCCCAAGTGGAAATTCACTGACAAAATACACGTCGATGGACTCTTTACATAGTTGTGATGATTAAACTTGCATAAAATAAGTCTGACTTGTAATTTCAAAACCCAAACTTTAAAGAAATATTGGGGGTTCTTACAAAGTAAGCTGACAATCAGTTTATATATTTGTATCTTCTTTAGTTTGTGTTGTCTGGGTGAGTGGTTCCTTAGAAAGCTGCACCCTAGAAAAAACATGCACAATCATGCATGCATCCAAATTCAGTGGGTGTGTCCTCATCAAAGTCCTCTTCCCAAAATACCTGCCTGCACCTGATATGTTTAGGAGGCATCTTAACTGCACTTTTGTAGCTATGCAAAAATACATAATTTGAGCACTATCACTTGACTTAAAAAAAGGATGAGGCTTACCCATGCCAGAAAAATCCGCTGCAGATTCAGCCTCCACATATTCCTCATGTGCTGGATACTGCTGGCTGCTGAACCTTTGAAACATGTTGTGCTTACTGGAGCTACCACCACGAGGCAGCTCCAGTTCAGACAAAGGCCTTAGCATCGCTCTGCTGTGGCGTTTGGACCCTGGGGAGTATGTGCAATACACTTCCCTGAAGCGTTTGGACTGTGGATGGCTGCTCCAGTCTAGGTCCCTGTGGCGTTTCCTCAGGACAGACCGGTGTGGTGACAGTGCAAGAGCAGCCAGAGCTGATGAAGAGTGACCTCTGCTGGCCTCAGAGCTTCTAGCACAGAGACGGCATGCAGGGCCATTGAAGAAAGTTGACTTGTTCTGACACACAAACTTGTGGTAAAGTTTCATGAAATCCTCATCAACTTGTTTTGGTGAGCACGAGCCAGGGGATGAAGGCAGGACGGAATCAATGGAGAGGTGTCGTACGAGCCTGCGATGACCCCCTGCTGCTGAGGCTGACTGCGGTGAGTGTGGCAGGAAGGACTGCTGGGAGTTTTGAGAGTAAAGCATCTTCGGTGGCAAAACAGGCCTTTTTGTCGGGGAAAACAGAGAGGCCGTGAGTGATCTGGGCCTCATAGGCTCTCTGGAAGTCACAGAATATTCACTGGGGCTTCTGGAAAACAAATGAGGTGATCTTCCCAGGCTGGTCACCACTCTTGCTTTTAGGGGACTCCTGTCCCTAAAGCTCAGCGCCTCCTGCCTGACTGGGGAGCCATAGATATCAGGTCTCTGTATTGCAGCAGTGAATTCTGGTGCAAGGATGGAGCTCCCAGCTGTCTCTAATAGAGAAAGACTTGATCTTTCCTCAGAGGCTTTAGCACAAGGTCGTGAAGGACTGACGCTATAGGCAGAGGCCTGGTCTTCCAGCTGGGTTTGTTTACGAGAGGACAGCTGAGACACAGTGAAAGTCTTGTTTAATGGTATCTCTTTTGGTTTAAAGGACACAGAGGAAGCAGAGAAGTCCATTACAAGGACAGGCTTATGCTGGTGCCTGCTCATAAGGTTTTCCTCCCTATCAGGAGATTGGTGCATTTCGTGCCAGTCTCTAGGACAGGTCACAGTCTGCATAGGCGTTGTTTTGGTCCTCGTGAATTGCTCTTTCATAGGCCTGCTGGAGCTTTTCTCTGGAAATGCTTTTGTGGTCATCTTTGGTTTGCTGTTTGTGTGTCTAAGTGGGACGACAAAGGTGTTGTTGAGGTTACTTCTGTTTGATTGCTGACGCCATCTGCGGTACCTCCTCAGCACAGAATCAGCGGCTGTAGAGACATGCTGCCGATCCCAGGCCCTCTTTATCCGACTAATCATACTTGGATAGAGCTCCACCCAGGAACTGCCATGACTTCTAAGAGACATTTCCAGCTCCTCATCTTGGTCTTCAGGTTGAAGGTCCACATTGGAAAAGTTTCTCTGACTCTCATCCAGTGAGCTCACAGTCAGCTGAGTCACATCACTTCTAGTCATCCCTGTGTGTGATGCACAAGGGGAAACAAAATTGGGAATTAGACAAATAATATACTCAGTGCTTCTCTTGGATAAACAATCTTTATATATACACTAGTGGACAACCCTCTGTTTTATTTGGAAAGTTCACACACTACCAGCTTCCAGCTGCCTCACGGGCCAGGTTACCTAACTGGGGTAACCGGATGTACTCCAAATCTTCTATCTTGGATTGCAGTTGGCGATAGTGGTGTTTCTTTTGCTCCGAGGGTTCACTGTGAGCTGGAGGCCCACTCTAATTAACCCTCGCCAAAGCTAAGAGCAGAACAAGGATTACCTTTGCCAGCTGCTGTTCAAGGTGTTGGAGTCTAACACTTAAAACTACCACAATGGTCAACTATTCATTTATCACAAAGTACAGGGAAATCAAAATGTTTGTGGAGGCAAAACTTATTAAATATATTATTTAATAATTAAAGAGAGCATGCATGTGTAATTTAAGAAAGCAATCACGCATTTCTGTTGTGCATTTCTTTGTTGTCACAAATTTAATCCAAGACTGGAAAACACTGAAACAAAAGGATTTCCTTTTTCTTACCACCATCTTCCATAGACAGCTGGATGCTGGTATCAGATGACAAGTCCAGCTGTCAAAAACAAACCATCATTAACTCAAGTTATGCCAGATATTTTGATACAGAAGGTAATTGCAGGTATATTTACCTGAGAGTCTCCTGTGGGGTCCTGTGCTGTGTAAGAAATGTTCAAGTTGTATTAGATGAACTACACAGTGAAGCAAAGAAAAAGATGCATGTTGTCATTTAAACTCTTAATTCTGAGAAATTACCTCTTAGTGACTCCTCTCTGACATCTGTCGAGCTCTGAGGAGAAAATGTGGGTGATTAAATAGTAGTAAACGCAGCTTATGGTATTTTGTGTCGTGCATGGCTGCAAAGGTCGTTGTTAGTAACCCAAACCTTCAGTTGCAGTGAGATCACCTTCTTTTTAGATAACGTCATGTAGCTGTCAAGCTCTTGAGGACAGAAAATATACACAATGTGGTCAGACAACCAAAAAAGTGAACATTACAGATCGTCAAATATTAAGCAGTGTTTCAGGTATCAGGCCTTCACCCATTGGACACACAAATACCTATAATTGAAATCTGGTGAAGAAGATAACAGCTGGAGGACGTAACATTTTCTTCCATTAAATACAATCAAAATCACAAATCATGCAAATTGCATCAACCACTAATATTCTAATTGGAGCTGACAGAAACAGTAAAATGTATCATGTGACATGGCCTTAATGTCTGAATGACATTAAAGGAAAGCTCTGCAGTTTTGCTTCTTTCAAATTATATCCAAACCTTTAATCCAAAATTAAAACAACACTCAAAATTAGATCTGGGAAAACAAATCATCCAGGTTTATGTTTTTTCTGGGATAGACCACCTCAAATCTCTTACTGCTGGTAAAAATCTCACCTTCAACTAATTAAAAATGCAGCAGCAAGACTTAGCACATAGCATTGCATTACCCCCGTTCCTGGCTCCTCTCTACTGGTTCCCAGTACATTTGATTTTAAGGTTTTACTGATCACTTTTAAGATATGTTTTGATCTCGTCTCCAAGATACTTTGCAGAAATATTATCTTGTTTGTTCTTCTTTTTTCAGCTGCTCTCTTTAGGGATTATCTTTAGCAGATTATCTACCTTCATCTCAGCCAATCTTTCTGCTCTATCACATCAACCCTCTGCATGTCCTCCTTCAACACATCCTCTGTCCAGTATATCCACTATACCTCCTCTGCTCAAACCATCTCAGCCTTGCCTCTTTAAATAATGTCCAAACCACTAAACCAGAGGTGTCCCTCTGATGTTCTCATTTCAAATCATGTTCATCCAGGTGACTCCCAATGACAATCTTAACATCTTCAAATCGGCCACCTCCAGCTGTGCTTCCCGTCTTTTTGTCAGTGTCACCACCTCTAAAGTACACATTGCAAAACTCACGCACCCCAAGATATTTAAACTCATCTACCTTCCTTAACTGTACTCGTTGCATCTTCATCCACACACATTCTATCTTGCTTCTGACTTTTAATCCTGTCCTCTCCAGAGCATACCTCCACATTTCCAAGCTACTATTATCTCACTTTATTGTCCTCTCATCTCAATGTTTGTTTTCCGTTTTTCACTGTTTCTGAATTTAGCATTTTGCTTTTGCTTGTCTGTCAAACTGCTTTGCAAACTCAAAACACTTTTCAAAGATTTATAATTAAAGTCTATTGTTTTTATTGTAATAAAAGGCCCTTCAGGCGACTATTGCTGTGAATTAATATATAAATAATACTGAACTTCATTATTCCAGAAAGAAAACAAGTCCTGTGATTGATCTAGCTTACAAACGCATCTAATTAGTTAGTTTTCGGTTACCTTTACTAACACAGACGATGTTATTAAAACCTTTCCGGCTCA